TTGAACTTTAAAAAGCATTAGCTAACCTTAAATTACTGTAATTTTAGAACATATTATAAATTGAATTCATACGGTATTTTTCAATATTTAGTAACTCTATTCATTTCATTTTAGTCGTTAATTATAAATAGGATTGTATTGTATTTTATAATGTCATTGTATATCATGTTGATTTCTTTTGTTATTTGTTATTTTTGTCTCGGAAAAATTAGTTTCTATAAGCTACTCTTAAATTCGAGAAAAAAATTAAATTTATGCAGGTGTGTATGTATGCATGTATAACATCGGATCATGTGGCCTTCGTGTGGTACATAACAGCTTCAAAAGTGGAATGGATGCAACAGGCTGGCAAGTATCTTCCTTTTTATCTAGTCTTTACTATCTCTTCAAAGATGCTCCAACAAGGAAAGAAGATCTTTTCATCTCAACAGGCAGTAAGTTAATGCCTCTCAAATTTGTCAGCACTGATGGCTTGAAAATGTGCTTGTGTGCGAAAGAGCATTAAAGCTATGGGACAATATTGCTGCATACGTTAAAGCTGCTGAAGCTAGAAAAGTTAACAAGCCCAAGAACAAGTCTTATGAAGTGATAAAGGACTGTCTCAAAGACCCATGCTTCACTGCAACATTGCACTTTTTCAAGTGCGTAGCACCACAATTGCAGCCTTTCCTTTCAAAGTACCCAACAGATAGGCCCATGATACCATTCTTGAGTGATGATCTTTGCTTGATCATAAGGTCCTTGATAAGGAGATTTATTAAACCAGATCAGCTTGAGACAAGTGCTGATAAATTGGTGAAAATTGATGTCGCTGACCATAAGATGCACGCGAGCAACAAGAGAGTGGATATAGGCTTTGCAAGCGAAAAACTTAAAAGCACAAGTGATTGTAAGCCAAGTGAAAGGCAGATAATGGAGTTCAGGGTGGAATGCAAAACCAGCCTCATGGAGCTTCTCAAAAAAGTGCTCCAGAACTGTCCAGTTTCTTACTCTCTTGTCCGCCATTTGTCTTGCTTGAATCCAGTGATGACGGCAACAAAAAAGGAAGATTGTTTAAACAAATTCAAGGTCTTGACATTGCTGCTTAACTCTGGCAGAGTGGAAGACAAAGACTGTGACACACTGCTGCAACAGTATGGAATGCTCGTAGACAACATTCCAGTTTTTGAGAACCACATTTTTGCTGATTTCAACTCAAGTGTGGATAGAGTGGACAGACTTTTTAATGAATGCGTGGCAGGAGAAAGTTACACAGGCCTCTTTGAAGTTGTGAAACTTCTGTTAGTGTTGGCCAGTCAACTGTGGAGAGAGTCTTTAGCATCAACAAGGAAATGGAAGTGGAGAACCTGAAGGAACATACAATTATTGCTGAAAGGCTTGTCTATGATCATGTGAGAAATGTTGGTGGAATTTTAAATGTTGAACTTAGCAAGCCTTTGTTGCTTTCAGTTAAGCTTTCAAGACAGAGATATGAGAGGAATCTTGAGGATGAGAGAACGAAGAAGAAAACCCAACAGGAACAGTCAAAACGAAAATCTTTACAAGAGAAGATTGAGAAGTTTAAAAAGAAGGAAAGAAGAGTGGATTCTGATTTAAAGTCTCTCTTGTATTAGGTGAGTTAGCATGAAACAGTAAAGCCAATCCAGTGTCATTATCTAGAAATTCCTCGACTTATAGCTTACAAATACACTAAGAAGGCCTCTGATTAGCACCACATACACCCGGGTTTAGCAAATAAAGGTAATTTTTTTTCTTTGAAAACCTAGTACCCATCATAGAGCACAAATGACGATTTCCTCACCTAGATATGACAATCCTTTTGTAGAGATGCCTGAATTTCCTCTGATTTATATTTTTCAGGCCATATTTCCCTACATACTAGACTAACAAGCATGCAAAGTCTCTATGTTTTGTCGGATCCATTTATTGATGAAGTATGAAGTGAGCTTAACGAAAACGACCGTTAACAGAAGATCTATGGTTAAACTTTTGATAGCCTTGCTAGCTCTTGTAAATACGCATCATGGCATCAGTAAAAGAGCAGGATAATACATACAAGTTGTAGTGAGTAGCGTCCAGGTGACTTGTGATCCATCCGATTTCCCTGGTACGTTAAAGGTTAATAAATCAAATCATCCGATAGTAAATAAGAAATCCACAGTTAGAAGAGCTGGATAACAAATATTTTGTGTTGCAGTTTATGTGAAACATGCCACGCAACACCTCGAGATGCGATTGTTATTAAATCGATTAGCTTACTATATTGGACGTGAGAGTGAGAGGACTGGACCAAGTCGAGGAGTCACGTAACCTTCACTGAGTTTTAAGTAACGCGGGTTTGTCCACCATCACTTGCGTTAATCGCAGGAATTTGCTAACTGTAGAAGAGGTTCATAATACGAAGGCTTAGGATTAGCACTACCTATAATTTCAACGTCGAAAAACTCGCACAATGACGGTGGTTGACTGAGTTTTTGCTTTTGCAACACCTTGGTTAATCTTCCCTTGGCAGAGAGTTCGCGAAAGTTGAAATCTTCATACAAAAGAGAATCGGAAAACAACCAAACTATTTCTGAAACATGTGTACTAAACCCTCTTCATAGGAAAAAAAATAAGGAAAATTTTGTTCGGACGGGAGAGGACCGCTCTTAGCGAGAGTGGCACTTGAAAAGCCATCTGCTACATTAATGCGCGTGTCTGAGCCCTTTCTTATATTTTGCATTACCTGTACTCGTTGCTTTGGTATCACCCGGTCTTCCTCTCGCCCGGACGCACCTGACCCCTTGTACTTGTGTTTTAACCAAGCAGTCATGTCATTATCGCGAGATAGCAAAGGAGTCATTCTTGTTTCGTGCAGAGCCCATGACAAGGCACCGCACATTTACCCCTCCAAAGGAACAAAGCGCCATCGTGAAATTCTCCCGAAACTTCTTATCGCTACACTTTTAATAACTGATAAGGACACAAACATTTACGCTCGAAGAGAGGGAGGGATGAAAACTCGGTCCAGTCCTAATACTCTCACTTCAAAAATGGCGGGCCCTATTGGCATCATCTCATGTCTCGTGTGGAATATTTCATTTAAACAGCAACAGTAATTTTTTGTGTCATCCAGCTGTTCTGACTGTGGATTCTCTCTTCGTTGGATAGTTCCATTTATTCAATTGTAAAGTACTTAAGATCTCTGGTGGATCACAAGTCACCTGGACGGTGCTCACTGCTGCACTTAAGCTTATGTATGTATGGTCATGTTCACGTAATGATGGGTATTCGCGAGAGCTATTCAGCCTATTCAAAGGTCAGACGTGTATCATCTTTTAACGATCGTTTTATTCTTAGCTTAATGGTTAAGGCCGGGTTAGGGTCACTTTATTTTCAAGTAAAAAACGGCCTGACAAAATATAGAGACTTTACATGTTTGGAGTATGATACGTATTGAAATATGATCTAACAAACATAGATCAGAGAAAATTCAAGCATCTATAAGAAATATTGTCATTTCTAGGTGAGAACATCATCATTTGTGCTCTATGATGGGTACAAGGTTTTTATCTATTTCTTTATTTTATTTTGCTAAACCGCTAGGTGTTTGTAGTGCTAATCATCAGAGGCCTTCTTCGTGCATTTGTAAGGTATAAGACGAGGTATTTCTAGATAATGACACTGATTTAGCTTTGATGTTTCATTTTCACTCACCTAATACAAAATAAAGGCCTTTTGTCAAGAATTTGGTCTGTTTATAGCATGAATTATGCCCAAAACCCCATTTTGCTTGGCCTTAGAGGGGCATAGAGAATTTGTGCCAAAAACCTAGCAAACCTGAATAAGCCAAATTTTTCTCAACTGATTTTGATAAATGGGTCACTAAAGTACATACTGGATGTGGTATGAAAGTTATGCAAGAAGGCAGGTGAGTGTTATGGTTTTTTGAAAAATGGCAATTTTGGGTAATGATTTTGACCTCAAATTTGACCCAACTTTAGCCCCAGGCCCCTCTCTGTCTAATCACTTAAGAACAAAGTTATATTTAGCAATTAAAAGCTCCACTATAGTAGAGTCCATGGTAAAATTTATTTGGCAGCACAGTTTACCAATGGAGTTTTATAACACTTTCAAAATGCCAACTAGAAGGATGAATTTTTGGTGCTCCACAGGCCACAAATGGAACCCCCCCTGAAACTCCAGAACAAACAGTCAGAGAAGTGAGCCAAAGTGGCTTTTGAAATATCTTATCACACTCAATTTTTGTGCCAAGTTTCAGCTGATTCGGTTGACCACCACTTCTGGCCCCTGGAACACTTTCTCAGACAGGGACAATTAAATTCCAAACTGGAAAAGCTAAAAGAATAGACACAATCCAAAAATTTTCTGAGGTTTGTGATTTGATTTCCTGTACCACATTAATGGCAGTTTGCTGTTTGTATAGCACGTTTCTTTGCAGTACATCCCATATAAAAAGTAATTTGAATTGAGGGGTTGATTACAAGTATGTCAAATTGAGTGGAAAATAAGTCCTTGAAGAAATGTGATTTGTCCTTGAAAAGTACTTGAAAAGAAAGGTCTCAGGTCTGTATGAACCATGCGCATGGTTTGCAAGATATGGCTCAGTTCAGTACAAATCCTTGGAAAATAAATCTTAGTGCAGAAGTTGAATCTGTAGGAAACCAAAGAGAATCATAGATGTTGCTTCACTTCGTGTTGCTCAGCCTGATACTGATCTATTTGCCTATACCTATTAGAAAAAATCACGAAAAGTCCATAAAATGTCATACACACCTGACCCAGACCTTTTCCATTAAGGTATTCCGCCCAGACTAGTCGAATCGTGCCATTTACTTTTTCCACCGGAGTGTGGTTTCTCATTTCAACAGTGAAAAAAAAAAAGAGATTTAGAACGTATGTAGAATGTAAAGGGAAATAGGCGTTATTAGGAGAAGCCTGTAAGTGGTTTAGGGATTTCGGCAACAGCATCATTTACAGTGAAAAATAGACAAAAAAACTTCGCCTTGAATGGAGGTTTATTAATATTAATTTAGGAAACAGCGGTCAATCTTCCTTTTCAAGTCTCAAGGTGACTTTTGTTCCTCTTGCTCTGAAAAGGAGGGATGTCCTGACAACAACAATTGCAGTCTCCAAACGAAGTGAGTAAAGACTGGGAAGGCTGCCGAGATATGCTGAAGTGAGCTATTAAGATTGCGATAGATGGAAGAAACTGTGGAGAAAAAAAAAACATAAGAATTACACAAGGCAAATTCATCACCTTTAGAAAAGAAGAAAGTTTTCCATTACGGAAAAACAAACACTTTCCAGTTTGATCATCACTGACGGGGAACTAAGTACCACCTGTCTCAGAGCAAGTCTCTTGCTTCAGAAAAGTATTCCTCAGTATCTCCTCAAGTGCAAGAAGCAAATGGAAAACATTCTGGTAGGTCATAACTTTGCCATAAAACTCACAATCTCCTGAAAATTGAAATGGAATTTATTAGAAAATAGTTCATTTTAATCTAAGTAATTATAAATTAGTCACAGCAACTCATTTGATAATAAATACATTGATCCATGATTGTATTCTTGCAATCATTGCTATCACTCAGTCTCCTTTAAATAATCCATTTTAGAAATGAACTCGGCTGAACAATTTAAAGGCTGATAGTTTGTAGAGAAACTGTTTGGGGCTGCGTCGGTGGGGGTAACGAAATAATTTGAATATATCAATAAAGTTGAAATGGTAAATTGGCCACCGTTACGATTATAAAAGCTGACGTTTCGAGCGTTTGCCCTTCGTCGGAGCGAATAGGGGAATTGTGGGTTTTGTGTGCTTTTAAAGGCAGAAAAAGGAGCTACGTGATTGGTGGGAACATGGCAACGAGAAAAACACGAATAAATTAGTGGAATGAAAAGTGTTCGTTGATACCTGTGGGATTTAGACTGCCGGTTTGAAAGCTGAGCTTTTGTTCAAGAGTTTTCCGGCTTTCCGTGCTACCTAAGTGTAAG